GTGTTGACTCTTAGCGACCACAGATTTTGTCAAGGAGAATCTGTCCTTAACCTGGTCCTTCAAGTTTTCCAATGGTGCACCCATCACCACTGTAACTGAATCCAACTACTGCTGGTCATCCTCTTCTCTTTCCTTCTATCTTCCCCACCATTATGAACTTCTCCAGAAAGCTAGGTCTTCGCATAATGTGTCTAACCCTAACCCTAACCCCAACTCTGAGCCGATTCTGATTCAAACCTAGTCCTTATCTTGCCAGTTGTGTGAACCAGGCCTTCACATGAAACCATAAATCAAATGAAATCAAATCTTTATTACAGTCATAGACCAGCATAAATGAAACCATAATATGGTTTATTTTGATACAGCAATGTGTATGAACCCACAAATCAGCACTGTCTGCTGGAGGGAGTCAAGATGTTAGATGTTAGGTGCAGCGTAGCAGTGCAAGCTCTGTGTACTCACACAAAAGAGGCAGAGCATTTATGCGTGATGCTGTGTCCACCGTCTTTTAGCATGTCAGGAGAAGCCAATCACAGTATCCCACAGAGAGTGGGAGCCCCCAAACTCTCTCCAGATCACTCAACTTCAAGTAGGAAGAGATACAAAATATCACTGTGCTCAAAACCAATTTCAGGTAGGCAATCTGGCACTCTCCATTGGTTTCAGGACTACAACTTCCATAAGCTCCAACCACCAAGGAGCTTAGATCAAGGCTTACTGGATCTGTAGTCCCAAACATATGGAGGGCATCAGGTTCTCAATCTCCTCCCCGCCCTGCTCTAAAACAGGTTCCTATTTTCTACGGGCTTAGAAGCATAGCCCAAAGAAAACCAAAGGTGAGGAAAGGGCTTTTGTTGAGTCTCGTACAATTTCTCAAGGCCATTGCATGTACCATCTTACTATTCAAGCCTCAAGGTGACCTCACTACAGACATGGATTTCAGCTGTTGATGTCCCCTGGAAGACCTGGGGGGCTCTTAAGCCTTACTGAAGACAAGTAGAGATTTGGCTTGATCAACAGATGATTGCTAGAGTGTATCACTCCCTCTCCTGCTTCTATTGGTCAGATGTAACTACAAGCAGTAGGACAAACCCTGAGCTGCTCACCCCTATGCTGGCTGTTTCATTCCCATTGCAAATATTCCCCAAGAGTAGGAAAGTCCAACATCACATGGGCGGGCTTCTAGCCTGTACATCTTGGAGAGTTCTCCCATGTTAGAAATACTTTTTAACCATTGAGACAGAAAAAGGGGTCACACGTTGCCGAAATAGTTTCTGGTGCCTCTTATCCTATCCTGTTATCAATGGACATATCTTTATTACCTCACATAATAATAAAAGCACGTTTCTACCTGTAAGATACTGGCAAGAAACCCAACCCAGCCTAGATGATTTCCTCAGTCTCTCGATGAGCAGGCCTGGGGGCCCTGGGGGATCGGTGAATTAGTGAGGTGGCTCCAGTATTATTAACATCCCTCCGTCTATTTTTTTTTTCCTGTTTTAGGTCTCCTTTTATAGTTTTTAATGCTTTTTATTGTATAATATTTTTAGGCAATGTTTGTTTTATATATTTATTTATTGGCTTGTTGTACATCACCCAGAGTCACTTTTTGTGAGACTGGCGGCCATATAAATTTGATTAAATAAATAAATAAATAAATAAATAAATAAATAAATAAATAAAAAGACCCAAGAGAATGTTTACCAGGGGTGGCATCTGGTTTCTAATGGAACTATCCCAGGTAAATTTCTGTCACTTTTGACCCAACTTTGTCTCTGCTTTTGCACCAGCTTTTTATTACTGTACTAGTATCCATGTGCAAGTCCCAGAGCTGCCAGATTGAAGGGTCTCACTACCCTCCCTTTGTTTTTCTTTCTTTGCCATCCCTCTGGGAGAAAAAGCACTTGTGACGGATCCAGACCTCCATCTCCCATTTGTTAGACCATACCTCAAAGCAGAAGACAGGCCCAGACATGTCCAAATCAAAGTCTACCTCTCCAGGCTGATTTTTCAACTTTATAACAGTCATAAGCCAAAACGAAAACAGCATCACAGGAAAACAGTGTCAGGCTTACTGTGAAGCACCTTTCTGGGCACTAAAGGAAGGAGCTAACAGGAAAGGTTAATTCCACCTCTTCCAGCCAGACTGTGACTTCTCCCCATCCTGTGGATGAAACCCCCTTGCCCTTCCTTCAGTACATGTTCAGCTAGCCATGGTTCAACTCCATTATGCTGGTTACTTATGTGGCAATGAACCATAGCATTTTGCAATAAGGTAACTTCCATCTCAACTTTCGGGCTACTTTTAACTTTCTTTCCCTCCCAGATAGGATAGGACAGTTGGGACTATCTTCTGAGGACCAGAAAGGCAACTCACAGAAGATCCAACTATCATCCCTGATCATCAGAGATGGACATAATAGGAACGGGAGCTGCTACACCAGTATTCTTAGGAAGAGTCAGTGTGAGAGTTTAGAGCATTCTCTGTGGCCCAGTGCCCATGGCTGAAGAAGCAAACTTACTTTGCAATGTTTTATTAAGGTTTGGTGGCTCCATCTTACAAATATCTAATTAATGGTACTCTTGTCATTGAGCATAATGGTCTGTGGGAATGACCTTGGGCGAGAGGAGGAAGAGCCGCAGACTGAACAACCAGCATGTAAAAGATATCTCAGCCCACAGAAGGAGAGGTGGCGTAGGAAGCGTTTCAAAAGGGACCCTCCCTAGTTTACCGGAGAATAAAAGGAGAGGAGAAATTCTTTCAGTCTTGCAAGATTCTGTTAATGCAGCCTTACAATAGAATTACTTCTCATGGTTGTGCTTCTTGTCTGAACTACCTTGAAGAGCTAACCTTGAAACTGCTGACATCATTACTCCTCTGCATAGGCTGCTGAAGCAGGAAGGGAGTAACTCCAACCCATCTGTTAATTGTGGAGTAGGAAATGTGTCCACCTTGTTTTGTGGACAGCAAACTGTCTTCCTGGAGTGAACCTCCTAAGAAACTGATCTTGAGCATGGCTCATGCCTTGCTCTCCTTTGGAAACAGGGGGTCTTCTGAGTCATTTAGGGTTTCTGAAGCTGGAGATCTTGAAGTTTCAGTCTTCATCTTGTTCCTTTGGCTCACTTCTCTGCTCATGAATAGGCAGGTGATGGGGATGAATAGGACTTGTTGGATCTGCTTCTGGAAGTGGAAGCAGCTGACTTGCTACGAAGCAGGAAGGGGGTCTCCTCCTGCCATTGTTTAAGGTTGCCTATCATTCTACTTTGGAAAAAGCACCCCTAGGAGCTAAGGAGGCTGGACCCCTAGACCTTGCTCAGGTAACCCGGATCCAATCACCCCTTTTCACTAGCCCATAAGCTGCCATCTTGGGCAACAGTAGTCTAATTTGTGCCTCCCTTGCTCTTCTTTCAGGGCTGTCCCCCGCATCCCACGCAACATGAATCATCCAACTGTTCCATTGCCATCCTTTTGGTGGAGTAGAGGGAGATCCAGTCAGGTTACTCCCATGAGACAGGGAGGAAGTCTTAAGCCTTCAGGGAGAAGGAACGATGTTATCCACCTCCCATCAGCTCCATCACTTTGCAGACTTTCTTCTGTCCTTCAAAATCCACTTGCTCGGTGGAGACTTTGCACAGCTCTCTTGACCACAGACCCCACAAGCCTTCCCCACCCTAGCACTCTCCAGGTACTGGGACAGCCAAGGCGTTCCTGGCTGGAATTCTGGGAGATGTATTCTCATGAAACTTTAACCCAGCCTGCCTGAGCACTCAGAGTCTTGCTTGAGTTGAGCAGAACATCTGGCCATTGCCTTCTTCATTGTTTTGCATTCCCACCACCTGGGTATTTGCTTGTGGCTTCCCCTCCAATTACAAAGCAGCCTCTGGACAAGATCAGCCAGGTGTTACCACCTGCTGGGGCACAGAATTGGGGGAAGACCAAAAGCAAAACATTTGCCCCAAATTTGGCAGACACAAAGGTAAATTCTTCAGGTTCAGCTCTATTCTTGCTGACATCATGCACACCTCCAGAGTTTTCTTGGCAATGTTACAAAAGCACTTTCCCCTCACCTTTTGGGTGGATCGTTTTTGCTTTACTCCCCAGTCACTCCATCGGATATCCTGTCAGTCTCCAGTTCCTGGACTCCCTGGGTCTCCCTGGGATGTAAGAAAATGAACCCCACCTGCTTCTTCACTTTCCAGAAATAGGTTTATGGCATCTATTCACCCAACCTAACACTTCGCCTAAAAATAACTTATCTACTTACTTTTGGCAGCAAAGCAAACTATTGCACAATGCTGGAAATGTCTTGAAAACGTAGCAATTTGTGGATTAAAAGAACTTTCTTATTTGCTTTAGTAGAAAAAAAAATACCGATACTTAGAATAATGAACTTTCAGAGGCACGAATCACACTTTTATCATATTTTGGCAGATTACATCCATTATGTTCATAGCACTAAGTGCTATTCTGTTAAGCCTTATGATATATGGAAATTAAGAGTAAAATTTGGGTTCCACTGTTAACGAAGCCTTTTACTTTTCATTTATATATTTTTTTGTATTGCTCTTCATAACATGGTATACCGTCTTAGTTCTTTCCTTGTGTAAACTACTGTTTTTATCTATCTATCTATCTATCTATCTATCTATCTATCTATCTATCTATCTATCTATCTATCTATCTATCTTCCCCTTTCATTTCTTTTCCCTTCTGAGTGTGGATTTTAACCCTTTGCTCACAGCACACCAACAAACCTGCAGGATTCTCCAGCTGACTCCTGCATTCTTGCCCACAAGTGGGGCACGTTCTTACAACCAGGTGGACGACAGGCAGACGGTGAGGCCCCTGGCAGACTCGGATGAAGTCACGCGGCAACAGACCTTTACTTGTGACCTCGCGCGCCTCTTTCCTTGTGAATTCGACAGAACAGGCTCAGACGGTGCAAAGATCCCACACCCTCGTGTGGTGAGCAACAGCCTCATTTCAAAGAGAAATGAAGAAACCGTCTGAATCTTTACAAACAAATACCATTTTAATTGGTTGCAAAAATTAGAAAACCGGGACGATCGAACAAAAATCTCTTCTCCTGCTATCTGTCTTAGAAAATACATTTCAAGATGGATCCTATGTTGAACAGCCAAGGAGAAAGACTGCCCAGGGGCAGTGCGCACTTCTAAAAAAACACAGGTTCTGCAATTGGGATTGAGTACAAAACATGAGAAAAGAGTTGCTGGGGAAATAGCAGCAGAAAAGAGCATTATTGCAACACATTTCCATCACCTATGTGAATGCATGACATAGAACAGAACAGAAATCAACATGCATCATGAAATTATGATAGTTCCAATTTCATAGGAAAACATTCTGACATATCGGTTCTATGGGTGAAAGTGCAAATTCCATGCTCAGAAGCATTCCACGCTGCTTGCTTCAGTGCAGGACAGACTAGTGAGAGAATTTAGATATCCAAATCAGATTTGCAATATTGAACAGTGCATAATTTTACTTTTAATAAGCAAACTTCTTAGCTGATTCTTTTACTGGACTCGGCTGCATTCAGCCACTTAGAAGAAAAACCCCAAACAAGGCCGGCACTTAAACTATGAAATGTGTTGCCATTCCCAAAGTGACACCCGCTTCTCTGTATTGGAAACAAGTTCCCATCATCCCCAGCCAACAGCATTCATTCCTGGTGAATGCTTGGGAGGCCACCAAACTGGAAAAAGTTGATTTTTTTTTTCCTGTGCCTTACCAGGAAAGCAAATTGAGATTCCAGAGTGAATTATTTCCATTTTCATTATCAACCCATAATCAGAAACCCTTACAAAACAAATATTAACATTTTAACGAAGCACTTGCCAATTACCTTGATCACACAAAAGCACCCAATAAACCTGAATGTGACTCTAGAAAATTGTTAGACCTAAGAATACTTGTGATCAGCGGTGACACCAATTTCAAATGCTGAATTGTTTAAGGAAAGGGAACTGAAAAAGGGTATGTGTGTGCCTAGAACGAATAAAAGTCGTGCATGTTTAGTCTGCTGCACTGAAACAAACATTTTTAATACTCCTATTACCACCACCCATCATTTTTGCAGGACTATTAGCAACCTGCACTTATTAGAAGCGATGATCCAGAATATTAATTCTGCAAGAAACACGTTCTTCCGCCTACCAATGGCCCCAGACAACACTCTGGGATTTTTCACTCCAGATGTTTGCAGTCTAGACCACGTGTCCCTCCTTGGTTTCAAGTGTCACTCTCAGCTAGACGTGGGTGTTTGCTGCACTGTTTACTAAACCATTCACTGGCTATAAGCTGTGGATGTTAATGCAAAGAAAAAGTTCTGAAGGACTTGCTCTCCGCGCTGGGATATCTTTGCACAATTCCTACTAAAACATTCCATGACAAAATTTAACTTCTCATTTGTGCATAAGCCAAAACTGTGCTAGGAACTCTCTGAGGCGCCTATTTTTTGTGGTGCAAATTTGTGAAGGGATCTCTGACAAAGCCTTGACCACAGTCTAATTTCAGAGGAAGGGATCTTCCTCTATGTCTTCTCTCCCAAAAGAAGGCACTCAACTGGTTCTAGCTAAGGTTTGAGATTTCCCACTAAAGGGTGAGGAAGTAAGGCAGTCAGGACCACCACAGAGCAATGGGGATGCCAGAAATGGTTAGAAAACACATAAAATGGCATTCAAAAGTCCCTTTTCTTCCTGGGCTCCACCTATTTCCTCAAACTATTAGAAAACAACATTGAGTGGGCCACGAAAACAAAATGATGGTCTTTCCCCGAACTAAAGATCCTCTAGATATAACTGACTGCTCCAAGGATCCTTAGCTACTGTGGCTTTGGGACTGGTAGTCAAACACATCTCAAGGGCACCAGGAGAGAGAACTGGCTTTAACTGCACAGCCTACCCCCAAAGAACCCAAGAAGAGGAGTTTCGCAACAGAACACTATCCAACACAGCCTCCAGTTCAGAAGCGGCTTTTCCTAAGAGTCTTTGGGAGAGAAGCTGGATGGTTCAGCTTGAGACAGCTGGATGTCCTTACAGAGTTCATCGCTATGACCATCCCTGAGAAAGCTAGAAGAGGAGGCCAGGAGAACACTGCCCAGTCCTGCTCCAGAATGGTTCTTCTTGTGAGCCGCCCAACGTCCTCACAAACTGGGGTGGAATACACAAATAAATAAATAGAACAGTGCGGTCTCCCCTTTCGTACAAAAGAAGAAACAACGGGCTCCCCTTTCTCCTTTAGATGTATTTTGTGTGCAAAAAAGCCCCTCCCAAGGGCACAAAAATGAGACCCCAAACAAGCCAGGAGTGGCCTAGATCCCTTTAGAATATGAAGTCTTCATCCGCCATCGCTATGGCCCACGCAAACTTGTCTCTCTGAGTTTTGTTGTAAATCTTCTCAATGGGCACATCAAACCGTTTGCACCTAGGTTCAAGGAAAGCATGCGAGAAAATCAGCACATCAGCATCGAAGCAGGACGGGGTGGGGGACGAACAAATAACAGCGGGGACAACAGCACAAACAGGCCCCTCGGTTTTACGCAGGACTGCAGTTCCCTGCCCCTCGCCCTCCCCTCAAGCCCCCTTCCCCTACCAGGCCACGGTGATGCGGGGGTCCAGGTAATTCAGCTTGGAGGTGCCCAGTGCAATCTGCTTGTTTTCTTCCTTGTCTGTGGCTTGCAATTTCAGCTTTGACAGCTGTTCTTCAATCTTCTGCACCAGCTTCTTCTTCTTTTCTACAGCGCTGTTTCAAAACAGAGACATAGCAGTGTTTCTCAACCTTGGCCACTTTAAGAACAGACTTCAACTCCCAGAATTCCCCAGCCAGCCATGAATCTAGGTGCAACCTAGGTGCAACCTTGAATCTAGGTGCAAAGCAGTGTTTCTCAACCTTGGCCACTTTAAGAGTGGACTTCAACTCCCAGAATTCCCCAGCCAGCCATGAATCTAGGTGCAACCTAGGTGCAACCTTGAATCTAGGTGCAAAGCAGTGTTTCTCAACCTTGGCCACTTTAAGATGTGTGGACTTCAACTCCCAGAATTCCCCAGCCAGCCATGAATCTAGGTGCAACCTAGGTGCAACCTTGAATCTAGGTGCAAAGCAGTGTTTCTCAACCTTGGCCACTTTAAGATGTGTGGACTTCAACTCCCAGAATTCCCCA